TATATATATATATATATATATATATATATATATTTAAAAAAGACAAAAAACTATCAAATCAATAAAACTTTAACTAAAATTAAAATGTCTAAATATAAAAAATATATATAAAAAATAAATCATTAATAATATTAATTAAAACTATAATAGTATATCAGTGATACTAAAATAACACTGGTTTCCAATATCAGTTTCTGGAAATTAAAATGCCACTCAATATCTCCATAGAGATATTGATTTTTAGTCATAATATATCAAATGTTCAACAGAAACCAACCATGAGCTCCACGAATCTTTACTAATGATATGTGCTCCTGTATAAGTCTCTTATCAATGTTATTTCAACTTCTTCTTGTTTTTCATGTTTAATTGCAAAATATTCAATAATCCTCAAAAGAGATCAATCAAAGTTGCTGTTCACATTGAAATGAAATCATTGGAATCAGCACACCAGTGACCATCCACACCGAAATAGCACAATCCTATTTTCATGAAAATAACAAGATTCAATGACATGTCAGAGAAAAATAACGTAAAAAAATAAAAATCAAATACTTTTCCCGGTGAGACCTTTAAAATAAATACCCTTTTTGATTAAAACCTTTGCCTAGTGATATTTAATGAATGACAACCCAGTAAAATATGTTTAATAGAGAATGGAGTCTACACTTGTTGTAAAGAATCACAAAGTACTGTGAGTTAACTGGCTCTTCTGAGAAAATACACAATGTTTTATACAACACAGTTCAGTGGCTTACCTCCTCCAGCACATCAGCTAGCTTGCTGAGTATTTCTTCCAGAAGGCCATGGAATGTCGGAACGCTGTGAACAAGATAAAGAGAAAGTTTGAGGTTTTGTGAGCCAACAAAACAAGCTGTTTCCATCAGCTCACAAAGTATCATATCTGACCAGCAAAAAAAAACAAAAACAACAACAACAACCTGAGTTTCAAAAGATAGGTTGAGTAGGAGGAGTCCGTCATTATTATGAAATTAATTTAGTAATATCATAAATAAACTCTATGAAATCCACGGAAGCTGGTAAATGAACAGTGTAAATGTATGCAAGAAACTGACAAGCACACTTTTGCAGTCTCAGAAATAATGTCTCAGGTTGAGGTGTGGGTGGACTTCTCGTGGTTTTCATAAAAAAAGGCTGCCAATCATTTTAAATAGCTAAGAAAACCAGTCAACCAGAAAGAATTTTACTGGAAAAAATATCTCAGTTGACTCTCAGTAGAATGAAAAAAATCTCCAAATTAAACATACATGGTTTTCCAGATTTAAATTAGCTAGGGGACATTAAAGTCAACATAAAATCAAAACTGACTCTACATACTGTACTTTTAGCACACACAACAATTTTTTTGTCTTTCTAATTTGCTCTGCCTCTGACACTTGAAATGTTCATTCTCAGATGATTCCAATTAACCAATCAGATGAAACTGACTATAGTGTTAGAACATAAATACGTGTAAAAATGCATTTGCATTTTTAATGTGCCATACATATTGCTCTTAGAGTAGTTGGAGCAAACTAAATGCACTTCTACAGTTTGCTGATAAGTGAATATGGACTTTGTCTTATTCATTTAACATCTGAATCTCCTCAGAGGATACAGTACAAATTACATCTATTTCTGCAGTCACATTGTCCATGAGGGGCATCAACATATTGATTCTGAATTCAACACTTCTTCTCTCGCTGCTCCATGTAGCTCATTGGCATCTTACATTTCCTCCAAAAACCAAGTTCTTTCCGTTCCTTGACATCATCAGCCATACGGTCTCCAGTAAAGCTGGTTTGGGGCCTCTGGGGAAATGTAATTTTCTTTGAGAATCTTATTACAAAATGACATTGTTTTGTGTCACCAGATGCTTTGGAGTCCATGATTGAATGATTGTTTGAAAAAAAAAAAATCAAACAAACCCTGACCTCTTCGTTCAATGATTCAATAATTCATTACGTATGAAACTATGACATTGTTTTATTTCTGTTTTCAGACCACAGTTTATTAGGTGTTCACTAATGCTATTACTATTGCTCATACTTTGGGTTAGAAGTTTCTCACAACTCATCCTTCACTATTTGTATATAAATGATGCATCAAATCATGCGGTTTATTGCATTTCTTTCATTTCGCCTGCCAGAAGATAAAACTGGCAACAACTACAATAATGTCCATAGAAATACACAGAAGAAAAAATATCTTTGTCTTTTGACCCTGGCAAGCACAATGCCCACAAGACCCACGATACCCGAAAACAAAGGTTCTCATCTAAGGATACTCAGCATACTTTGAAGGGGGTTTCAGGATGACTTAAAATTATTTAAAATCAAATTAAAATAAATACAGAGTTCTGGCATGAAACTCTAGATGGCGCAGTCCAATAGGTCTAGCTCAATCTGACCTGGTGACATCATTGTCACATGGCAGCTGATTGGTTCTCTCCTGTATCGGTAGCCAATGAGCTCGCTGCTCAATATTCAAATACCTGGCTTTTGTTTGCTGTAGCAGTTGGCAGCGCACTTCAGAAACCCTCCACCTTCCCCAGCTCCACCTGTATAGATCTGCTATGGGGTTATTCAAGTATGCTATATGAGGGTCATTCATATGTGTTATATGTGCAGCAGCAGTATTTCTTACATGCTTACAGCAGCATGTTGTGAATGTATTGGCAGTAGCAAGTCTCGGTACTTGCTCTGCCACAGCAGCAGCAGCAGCAGCGTAGCAGATCTATTCCGCCAAGACCAAATACATTAACATTGTCACGTACATTACCATGCAAATCCTCCGAGAGTTGTCATGACAGAACTAAAATTAAGATAATTCACTAACAATTTAGTTTAGGGACCAATACTCACTATTAACTAGTTGCTTGTTAGCATGCATATTACTAGCACATTGGCTGTTTATTAGTACTTACAAAGCACATATTAATGCCTTATTCTGCACAACTATATTTTAGATCCCTTAATCCAAAATCAAGTTAAAAACTACCGTACTAACTATTAATAAGCAGGAAATTCTGAGTTTATTGAGAGGAAAGTCATAGTTAATAGTGAGAATTGGTCACCAAAGTAAGTATTGGTCAGCAAGTATTTTTTTATTATTATTATTATTTGAAGAACCAGGGAAAAAAAACCTGTATGTATGGAGAAGCCTAATTTTAAAAGTGTGATTTCTAGCCTTGAGAAGTCACGCAAATTAACAAAATCTTATTATGGGCATTTCTAATACATTTTTTTTTTCTAGTAATGCCAAAGTCTAAAATATTTGATCAAGTAGGAAAAAATATATTTGATATATATATATATTTAATATTTATCCAATAAATCACAGGGGTCTTTGAATATTGTGATAGACAATGGGGGCCATGGAGTCAAAAAAGTTGAGAACCAACACACTAACACTCACATTTTCACTTGGAAACACTAAAAATGTAAAAATGTTCGTTCTATACATACAATGCATACTAAAATATGAATGCAAACTTCATTATTACATAATGCAGTAGACATTATTGGGAGAGAACAGAAGTGTGAATGCATTTGTATGGTGGACTGTAGACAAATCGATATTAAATGAAAAAAATAAGAATGTTCTAATAAAGCAAAGCTATTCATAAACAGCTCATGGCTAAAAATCAATATTTTCTGACTAAGTGAGTGGAAGGAGATGAATTAGACTCAAACAAGCAGAGTGATTCTCTAGAAAGCAACAGCCCTCTAATCATGATCTGCCCTCTGCCTACGTCTAGCCAACACACACTTTACTTTCCTCAGAAAAAAAATGATGAAATATAACGACAGTGGATTAGAAACATTTGAGAGTAATATGCCATTTCACCTTCCAAAATATTACAAACAGAACCCATCACCCGGGAGATTAACGACACACACAGCAAAGGACAGCGAGTTATCTGTGATTATGTAACCCTTTCCTTCTGTGTTATTCATTCACGATGGAAATCAATTTCTTTTATTGCATACTGGTGAGGGACAGACCTCTTCCATCAGGGGTTAGGAAGAATAAATAGAAGTGAACGAAGAAGCAGCCCACCTCTTCAGAAACTCCATGTACTCTGCATGCTTGATGAGTCCGGTCCTCATCATGATGGTCTGGAAACACTGGCGGTCGATGGCCCATAACTTCACATTTGTGAGGGCTGGGAAACAAAATATGAGTATAAATAAGCAAATTATACCCACATGCACATTTATCTAGCCAAAAACTGTCTTTATTATCTTTATCTGCTTATCTACAATAACATAACATATTATGATATAAAATATGTGCTAACAATATCACTGTTGTTATATAATGCCTTCTAGTCATTACAAGAGAATGGATGTATTGTTCACATAAATCACATTTCACACTGTTTAGCTTCACAATTATTAATCAATACAAGACAATTAATTTTCAATTAATTTACTAAACACTTTACTTTTCTTAAATGTCCTGATAATCTGAATTCAATTAATTATGAATTAAACCTATAAATAAATCCATTTCATCTCCTTTGAGGCCAAAGTAACAGCATTAAAATAAAAATGTATGTTTAATTAATCTTCAGCTCCATTTATTCTACATTAAAAGTAACAAAAGCTAATAAAATGTCATTTAAATTAGCCCTATTAAAGAACAGACATGATGAGTGTATATTTGTGAGCATTTTATTTAAAAAAAAATGCTGTCAATACACTGATTTACAATTATATAGTCTAAATAATAACTATATATTAGTGCTGTCTAACGATTAATCGCGATTAATCGCATCCAAAATAAAAGTTTTTGTTTACGTAATATATGTATGTGTATGGTGTATATTTATTATGTATATATAAATACACACACATGCACGTATATATTTAAGAGAAATATGTTATGTTTATATATTAAATATATTTATATATAATATAAATTACATTAATGTAAATGTAAATATTTTCTAAATATATACTGTATATGTGTGTATTTATATATACATAATAAATATACACAGTACACACACATATATTATGTAAACAAAAACTTTTATTTTGGATGCGATTAATCATTTGACAGCACTACTATATATTCACAATTTACATTTATATTCCAACTTACAACTATATTTTCAGATTTACTTCTATTTATTCAGAGTTATAACTATATATTCAGATGTACGTATATACTGTACATATGTTCATGGTTAACATTTAAATATTCAGTTTTGTATCTACATATTCAGACTTAGATCTATATTTTGCAATTTACATTTATATATTCAGAATTATAACTACATAATCACAATTTACATTTATATATTTAGACATAGCTATATACACATATTTACTTCTATATATTCAGTTTTATAAATATATATTCTGATTTGTATCTATATATTCAGACTTATAACAATATATTCTGATTTGTATCTTTATAATCTGATTTATAACTATATATTCAGATTCTATATAATAATGTCCTGTTTGGCCCTTCATAATAAAATAATAAGATATATTTAAATCAGGGCTATATAGTTAATTAATACCAAAACTTGAACTAATATTTAAATCATTTAAAAAAAAAACATTTTCGTATAAACAGTAACTGAAATAAAATATGATCAAAATAAAAATAAAATATAAACTTTATATCAGCTAGTTGCCAATGCAACATTTCTCATTTTAATTTAGTTTAGTAATATGCATAAGAGAGACATAATATTACTACTAACTACAAACTGAAAATATAAATATTAATAAAATTGTTTTTAATTTAAATGAACCTTCATCTTAAATTGTCCTAATTATTTATTACATTTGGGTGAATAAAACAATTGAGAGTCACTGTAACTCACTTAGTTTCAGCCTAATTGATTTTGCAGTCTGGGAATGCTGTCAGAACTGGAGAGAAAAGGCGCATTTGTCCGTGGTGACAAAGGCATAAAATGGTTGTCACTCGATGACATTACCAATATATTACTTGCCCTCCAAGACGTGCCTTCAGGAGGGGGCAATTGCCAAATTATTTTTAGATGAAAATAAGGCCCATTGGACCCTCAATATCTGACAGGTCTATGCAAGACATTAGCATAAACTTCCTTCAAAACAACTATATTGTTTGCAGCTCACTCATGAGGTCACCTCATAAGCATTATACGCAAGACTTTCCTCTACAGATTCCAGTGTTCAGATTTTTGAATGCTAAATTATGCAAGTGTTGATCATAAAATGCAGTAATGAAGAAATATTAAAGGGTTAGTTCACCCAAAAATGAAAATTGGCTTGTGTTTTACTCACCCTCGAAGCATCCTAGGTGTATATGACTTTCTTCTTTTAGACGAATCCAGTCGGAGTTATATAAAAAATTGTCCTGGCTATTCCAAGCTCTATCATTGCAGTCAGCGGGTGTTGCAGTTGAACAGTCCACAAGTCGTCAAATAAAGCGCACGCATTCATAATAAAACGTGCTTCACACGGCTCCGAGGGGTGAATAAAGGCATTCTGTAGTGAATCCATGCATTTTTGTAAGAACAATATCTATATTTCAAACGTAATAAACACTTTTCTCTCACTTCCGTTATCTTTCATACGCGGAAGGCGTTCCGGCGGTAGGCGTATGACGTATGCGCAGCCTGAGATATGCTAGTCTCGCGAGTTTGTTTATAGGAGCAAAGGAAGCAAAGTTTCCTTACTTTAGCAAAGGAAAACCAGTCTCCTCTTTGCTTATATCGAAATCCTCCGACATTTTTCTTTGCAAATCTTCAGTTTGTACTTCTAATTCGTGACTGGCGTTTTGTTTTGTTGTCTCTCCGCATTCGTCACTAATCACGCAACGCCGACATGCTACGTCATCTGCCGGAACGGCTTCCGCGTATGACAGTTGGCGGAAGTTATATAAAAGTGTTTATTACGTTTGAAATATGGATATTTTTCTTACAAAAACGCACTTGACGACTAGTGGACTGTTCAACTGCAACACCCGCTGACTGCAATGATAGAGCGTGGAATAGCCAGGACAATTTTTAATATAACTCCGACTGGATTCGTCTGAAAGAAGAAAGTCATATAAACCTAGGATGCTTCGAGGGTGAGTAAAACACAAGCCAATTTTCATTTTTGGGTGAACTAACCCTTTTAGAATAGCATATTGTTATGCTATTCCAAGAGACTATATTTGTATCCTAACACTGTAAAGACGTGCAAGCTATCTGAAGAACAATATACTAAACGGCTTTAGTGCTTGAAGGACCGTAATGATAGCACATCTACGGATGCAAACCCATGCAATCACATGAAATAGCAGTACAAGTGTTTCCCACACAATAAACCCTCATTTAACAGGAATGCGTTTATGAGCATGCATCATTTGCACCCTCATGCGGCGAGCGCAAATGACGCTTGTACAAGAAACACTTCACAAAGACCATTTTCAAAACAAAACTCACATTCTCTGGTCATTTGCAGAGCAACAGTTATGGCCACATTAATACACCTTCTCATGTAGAAATGGTCACCGTGCTTCTTAATGAGAGCATTGTGTTTAAATGGTTTTAAACCCATTAGGTACTGACCAATTACAATGGATTTATTATATAGGACAGTAAGTCTTGATCAATCAAGACTTCCGGAGTGAGTATTCTTCGAATATGCAAAAAACTATTCTACAAGCCTGAAAAATCTGGCTTTTGCAGAAACCTTTAAAACTCACATAATTCTTTACAGATATTAGGTCTGGGTGATTAATCAAATATTTATGATAAACTATAAAACAACACATTTGTGCACCGACGCGTTTCGGCTAACTCGCCTTCATCAGGGTGTCAGTTTACAAACACATTCAGAGTTCATTTAAACAATCAGTTCGTCACATGACATAGTCACCGGAACAGGTATCAAAGCAACAACGAGAGAGTTAATTATAATTATAATTATAATCATTCCCAATAAATTCAAAACAATTCAAGACTAATGTGATAATGCTTCAAGACCTTCATGATCTATATTTGTATATAGTGATTCCACATCCATACATACATACAAAAAATCCTGGGTTCTTTTTTTAACCCAAATGCTGGGTTGAGCCTTTTGGGTCATTTTTTCGGGTTATTTTTTCAGTGTTTGGGTAGTTTTTGTGTTACCCAGTTCCTGGGTAAAATGAAACAACCCAGTGTTTGGGTTGTTTTGCAGCTCCTGGGTCAGACATAACAACCCAATGTTTGGGTAGTTTTAGTGTTACTCAGATCCTGGGTCAGACGTAACCCAGCTCCTCCGTGGGACTCGAGACCGGTGAGTGGTGCAGGTGTCGCTCATTATCACTTACTCCACCAGCCTCGCTCCGTTCCCACGGCTCTCGGCCCCGCCCCCACTCGTCACACATATATATATATATTTTATTTTTATTTTTATTTTTTGGGGGGGAATGATTATAATTATAATTAACTCTCTCGTTGTTGCTTTGATACCTGTTCCGGGGACTATGTCATGTGACGAACTGATGGTTTAAATGAACTCTGAGGATGAAGGCGAGTTAGCCGCAATGTGTCGGTGCACAAATGTGTTGATTTTAAATTGTACTGCCATATGAATCAAGGCTTTTTAATTTTTTCACACTACTCGAGTGCCTTGGATTTATGAGTATTTTGATGATACAAAAGAATCCCGCATCCAAAGAGCACCGATTTATGGATTTTTACACCCCAGCAGCAGTTTTTTTGCATAATTTTGAATGCATTTATGATAAACTATATTTGATATGGATGTAGAGATTTTGTTGATGATATAAAAGTCATTAATATTGAGATGATTTTGTACATTGCAATAAAAAAGATAATTTCAGATCAGATCAGATCAGAAAAATCATTTCAAAGAATCGTTTTTTATCAAACTGTCTTTAATCTGTGAATCAAAACACAGACTCACTGATTCACTTGTACGTTTTACCTGCTTTAAATTATCAATATTACTGTTTATTACAATGTTATGTTGTGCATATAAATGATAATGTGTTAATGTAGTTAAAACTGTGTATTTTTAATAAAGATTATAAATAATTATCATTTTGGTAACACTTTATTTTAGGGTCTCTTAACTAGTTGCTTATTAGCATACATATTACTAGAATATTAGTAATTAATGCCTTATTCTACATCCGTAATCCTACCCAATACCTAAACTT